AGACGACCACGATCCATTTGGACACGTAAATGGATACTTAAAAGAAATCGTGCATTGAGAGGAACAATCAACTTAGCACATACAGAATTAAGAATTGAAGATAAAGAATATTTTCAAAGGTTCTTCAGGATGCGGATTGACTTATTTGATCAACTTGTAGAAAAAGTAGCACCTTATATACAACGTCAAAATACAAATATGAGAGAGTGTATATCACCTAAGGAACGAGTATCACTCACGTTAAGGTTTTTAGCTACTGGTGAAAGTTACCGAAGTTTAGAATATTCGACAAGGATTCCAGCGTGTACAATTTCTCGCATAATTCCCGAGACATGTGTGTTATATATGAGGTCCTTCGAAACGATTATTTACAGGTAAATAGGATTTAATGGTTAACAATATTATATTAAGATAAAATTATATATTGTTTTTTGAACATCAATTACCAGTTACTTACTTAATTAACTTATTTAATGATTTTTACAGACACCAACTACAATCGTAGAATGGGAACATGTTGCAAATGATTATCTACGATTATGGAATGTTCCAAATTGTATTGGTTCCATGGATGGTCGACATATAGAATTTAGAGCACCTTTTAAAGATGGATCATTATATCACAATTACAAAGGCACTAACAGCATTGTTCTCTTGGCATTAGTCAATGCGCACTATCAATTCACATATGTTCATGTCGGAGTTAACGGTAGAGTAAGTGATGGAGGCGTTTTTCGCGATAGTGACTTTGCAAAACTTTTAAATAATCCACAAAATCCACTGAATGTGCCACAAAATAAACCATTACCTGGCATGAACGAACCTGTTCCGTATGTCATATTAGCTGATGCTGCATTTCCGTTACAAAATCATATATTAAAACCATATCCATCACGAAATTTATCTTATAATGAGCGTATATTTAATTACAGGCTAAGTAGAGGAAGAAGAATCGCTGAAAATGTTTTCGGTATATTTGCAAATAAATTTCGAGTTCTTTTAACACAAATACATCTACCCGTTGAAACTGTCCAAAATATTACACTTGCATGTTGTGCATTACATAACTATCTTAATAAAGAAAATGCTGCTTATTTACACACAGATATAGACACCGAAAATTTAGAAGAACATATCATAAGACCTGCAGCATGGAGAAATAATAATGCGCAGTTGCGCAACTTGGAAATTGTCAATATAAGACCAAGTATAAATGCAATTCATATTCGTGATGTATTTAAAGAATATTTCAATACCGTTGGCAGGGTTGAATGGCAGGAATTTATGATATAACTTTTAAATATAAAATTATATATTTATTTTATATTTCTTTTTGTAATACAGAACATTTGAACACTATAATTATAATATTTATATTATTGCATATATGTTTGTATTATAATATTACAATTATTGTTCTTATAATTGTTTTATTTTTCATCGGGTACACTTGTTACCGTTACATTAATAAGATAATCTCATATTTTGAACATAAAAATGTATAAAAAATAAAAACGTATATTACTTATTCAGTATTATTTAGGTACATTTGTAACCGTTACGTTAATAAAATAAAATAATCTCACATTTTGAACATAAAAACGTATGTTACTTATTTTGAATACATTTGTTACCGTTGCGTTAATGAAATAAAATAATCTCACATTTTGAACATAAAAGAAAATATACAGAACATAAAAACGTATGTTACTAATTATTCAATATTATTCAGGTACATTTGTTACCGTTTATAAAGTAAAATAATCTCACATTTTGAACATAAAAGAAAATATATAGAACATAAAAACGTATGTTACTATTATTCAGGTACATTTGTTACCGTTACGTTAATAAAATAAAATAATCTCACGTTTTGAACATAAAATAAAATATATAGAACATAAAACGTATGTTACTTATTCAATATTTTCGTTATATACTAATGTAATAATCTCTTTTTGTAACCACTTCAACCTTTTTTCATCCTTAATTTTACGTAACTCACTTTCTAGATATAATATCCAGTATTTTAATCCATCCTCCATTTCATCGCTTTTTGATATGGTTTGAATTGCATTTTTTGCTACTGTCCAAAATTCATCTTTCGCCTCTTTCGCCTCTTTTGCCTCTTTCGCCAAATTTTCGCTTAAGATTTTAGGCTTTCTTTTTCTATGTTGAAATGTCAAACTGTGTGATCCACTGGTTGATTTACTACATGATGGAATTGACTGAAGATTTGGGTCAGTATTTTCTACATAAAATAAATGAAAATCCTAATTTTACATTTAAAAATCCAAAAATTGTATATAAATTAAATTATTAGATAGAATATATTGAGCAACAAAATATACAATAAGAAAATACATTATTGAATAAGAAAATACGTCAAAATTTTATAACCTTTATCACATTTTTCTGCTCCTAAAATATTAGCAACATCTAAAAATTGTAGATCTTCGTTGTCATTTTCCTCAACTATAGTACTGGATTCTGAAGAGCTAAATTGTTTACTAGAAATCTATAAATTATTATAATTTTAGTAGTTATATAATTATACTCCTGTGTGTAACTCTCAAATATTTCATTTTCCACTTACTGTTATAGAGGATTCTCCTTTCCTTTGAACAATATGAGGATCAAGAAATTTCATGTCTTCAAACAACCACCACGTAGGTTTATAAATATCATTAGTTGACATGCCACTTGATTTTGATGTCTTTATTTTGTTAACACAATCTAAATACTGCGATCTTAAATTATTTATTTTCTTCTTGGCAACTTCTATAGATAAAGGTTGTTTTGTTATTTCTTCATACTGCTGACATATTTGCTGGTAAGCGTTTTCTCGTTTTGTTCGGTTATGATAGTCAGCAGACTTTACAACATATAATGAGGGATGTTGTTCATATAGCATTAACAACGTTTTAATATTATTTTTAGTCTCCATATTCCTAAAAGTTGATTATCATGTTCTTATATTTATATTGAAACATATGTAAATGTTAACTGAACTTAACCTATAATTAAACAGAATGCATTGTCTATAAATACTATATTTTCTATATAGAATTTATTATGAGTA